CGACATAGAATGTAACATATGCAACTCTGTCTCTCTGCATCTTCTATCTATGCAATTCTTTCTATCTATTAGCCATATGTTTTCTCCTTTGCGTGACTTATAATCCAACCTGGTACACAACATATGCACCTTCTACTTCTCAATCCCTCTAAATCTGGTTAGTCATATGTTTCACTTTCTGCGTGACTGGAAAAAATCCGACCTAAGTGTACAACATAAGCATTCTAAATCTGATCTCTCTCTCTCTCTCTCTCTCTCTCTCTCTCTCTCTCTTAATGATTGTCTGCTCATCTGAAGTAAGGAGTATTCTGGAAGTCCTTGATTATTGGGGTATATCAGGAAGTGGGAAACACGTTATAGTACAACTAAAATTAAACATTCATAGGTTGTCTGTATATCTCGTTGCTCAATTTAGGTGGACAACAAAATCATTGGTCGTCGTCAGACGAATGGTCCCTAGGAATTTTATCTAGAAACGTAAGGTCACAATGCCTTGTCATTTGTAGTATATCAAAAAATTTGTCACAATCTTTCGTGTTTAAGTAGACCATAATACCGACGATTGACCAGATCTATTTATGAAGGGGGAGGTACCAATAAACGGATTAAGGCTGTCTAATAACTTTGATCCCAAATAATTTTGTTTTTGTTAAATTTTTTCATATCTTTCCTTTATGCACAAATTTAGGGGGAGAATTAAAAATTTTACAAAACCAAACAAAAATCAGAAAAATGAAAAATCCAAAAATAGTGTTATTTATGTTTTATTTCTTTTTCAGCAAATTAAAAAAAATCCAAAAATATTTTTGTTTATATTTTATTTTTTCGGAAAATATGAAAAATAAAAAAATATTGTGTGCTAAGTTTTGTTTGTCTTGAAAAGTGAATTCAGGTGTAGATTAGACTCATGGAGACTGTATCGAGAAATTTCTAAGCCAAGGCTTCATCCTTGATTATTGAAGAATATTCAATCGAAGGAGCAAGAAATGAAGATTATTCTTTGAACTTTCAATCTTTCAACCCTAGAAGCAAGGTGAAGCTGTACTTGAAGATTATGTGACAAGTTGTATTGAAGCCTCTTCAATCAATTTGTTGCTATCTATGAACTTGCTAATGTGATCCAGAAATTTCGTTCTCTCTGTTGTTCTCTCTGAAGATTCTCAAGCTGAAATCCAATTTTCAAGAATCTCTACATGAAGCCCCCTCACCCAAAGTGCGTTCAGAGTTAAATTTTGAATTTAAGCCCAACCGCTCAAGATGAAGTCATTCATGGAAGATTCATATGTTCATCTTGATGATGTGAAGAAAATTGAAGATTAAAGTTGAAGCTAAGCTCCCATTGAAGATTGACAAGAAAAAGCCAACTACTTTTTAGGGGGGCATTGTTGGGTCAATTAGAAAAGAAAGCTATAAACCAAGGGGGAGATTGTTGGGTCAAAAATATTGGGTTATACTTTGCTTTTCTAGGAAAATGTATTTTTCTGTAATGTAATATGTGTTCACAGTCGTGTTTACGGTCAGGTTGGTGTTTACGGTCGTAAACCTATTTACGACTGTAAACTCATTTAAGGCCCATGTTCCCTAAGTATATATATAGGGTGAGGAGTGCATGGAAGGATGTGACCAAGGAGATTAAGTGTGTGAAATCCAAGGTGTTTTCTAGAGAGAGAAACTAGACAAAAGAATAGTGTGTGTGTGTGTGTGTGTGAATCTTGTAAGGAACTTCATTTCATTCATCAATACATTTAAGATTCATCTTATTTTTCTTCTCCTTCTCTATTTTGATCTGACATCATCCAATTGATTGGGATTCCGCACCATCAATTGGATCTGATTGATACACAAGCAAATTTGAGGACTTACAAGTTCTCAAATAATCCTTCCTCTCTCTCTCTGTGTGTGTGTGTGTGTGTGTGTATATATATATATATATATATATATATATACACTAGCCGTACCGAGTGTGGATAATTTTTTTTTAAAAATTAGTTTTTAGAGGCGATTAGTTTTTTTACACGAATCGTTTTCTACATCTAGATAATTATCCATAAGAGTCATGCTAGCATAAATGAAATCAGTTAGTTTCTTTTCAGCGAAGAATAATTATTTTCAATTTAGCGATTCAGTTTCTTTACGACAAATATTGTATTATTTAATGTATTCGTCGTTTTTTGTATGTTGGATAATTGTTTTCATATGTTAGATCTATTATGACAAACTTTAGATCTACGCTTTTTTAGGGTTTGCGGAGGGATGAAAACCTACTGACCGCCAACATTCCAAACTAAAATTGTGGGTTCTTGATAAGCTCTTCAAAATGTTATAATTGGTTAGTTATAAAAAAATTGAAAGTGCAAAGTTAAAATTGATTGATTAAAAAAAACTAAAATTAGAATGTTATAATCTGTTATAATTTTTAAACACAATTTTCGTTGTTATGGCGATTTAATTTCAGCTAGTGGAGCCTAGTTTCCTTCCGACAAACAATTTCAATTCAACAGTTTCATTTCGGATACTTGTTATATTACAAAAACACGAATTGTATCGTAAGAGCATACTTGGCTTATTGTCTATTTTTTTGAACCAGTTTGATGTAAACCATAAGTTTATATTTTATATTAGATCCAATTATAAATCATAAAATGAATGCACGTCAAATTGATCAAAATTTAATTCAAATGTTTCATTTCCAAAACATGTCATTACAAAAACATGGTTGTATCGTAAGGATATGTATACTTGATTTAGTTTCTATTCTGAAACCTATTAGATATAAACCATAAGTTTATATTTTGTATAAGATCCAATTATAAATGGTAAAAAGAATGTACTAATTATTTCAGTTGTTGCTAAATAACAAAATCTTATCTATTATCTAACCAAAACATGAACAATCGATAACTAACTTTTAATCATCAAATGATTAAATTTATATAGAAAAAAAAACACGAAGTGTTACATAAATATAAGTGTAGAATAAATTATCATTTTTAAGTAAATTTATTTTCTTTTAATAAAACACAATTATGATTAAAAATAAATTCTTACTCTAACGGGTCCAGGAACCGATCAATACCCGTGTAGCAAATAAAGTAAAAACATAGTATTCTAAATCTAAAAAGTATTAAGAAAACATAAGCATTAATTACGACAAACAAATTTTGATATATACATGTTTAATGATACTTTGGAATTGATACTTTGTATTTAACTCTTAATATATATATGTTTCAATACTCAAGAAATTACTACTCAAAAATTGGTGTTTCATATTCAATGAAAATTTGATTTCTCATAAAATGTATCAACATTCATCCATCTAGTAACCAAGTTTTATAATATATACTAAAAATAAAAAATCTATTATAACTAAGTTAAAATCAATAAAAAAAAATCAATAAAAAAAATCAAAAGGATATTGCATCTCAAATCACTAAGAATTTCAAATTCAAAAGGACATCTGCTACCACACAATGAAAGTACATTGATATTTTCACACACAACATAAAATAGCAGTATGCTTTTGTTTGTTTGACAATTTTGGTATCCCCCTTCCATTTCTTTTAAATAGCAAAACAATGAATATAATTGCTATTTCCACACAGAATAGCATTGTACTTTCATTTCTTTTACAAATTTAGCATCCTTCTTCCATTTATTTTGTGTATGAAGCATGTAAGTACATGATTTTATATATCAGGACAGTTGGTTTTATCATGAATTTCAAGAAAAATATGAAAATAAATAGTTAAACATTTTCACCCGTTATACTCAACTAAGTAAACCTTGGACTTTCCTTCCGAATCTTGAAGAAGATTTCCAAGCTACATTTTTACAAGAAATAGTGTTAGCAGGGAATCAGAACTCAATAATATAAGTTTTCACATTCAAATAAGCCATTTTCACAAGAAAGACTGTTAGCCTGGTGTGAAGGAATGAAAATCTAAAAGAATTTCAAGAAACTATGAGAGAGAGAGAGAGTGTGTGTGAGAGAGAGAGAGAGAGAACATTTAATGTGAAACATGAAGAGATAAATGATAATATAAATCCACATGGACTAAAAATCATGTAAAATTAATCATGGAACAAAAATCATACTATAAAAAGCATATGATGCTATAAAATATCAAAGTAGGATGCTTTGACGTTAACCAGCTGATGACCAAATATCATGTAAAAATAACCATAGACTTAAAACTATGATATAAAAAACTATAGGATTCTATAAATATGTCAAACGGATGTAAATGCTACCATCCTATCACACTAACCCAACATAAATTTAAGAAAAAGACACTTGAAAACTTGAATACGTGGAATCCAATCAAGATCAATTTAGCAACTGATGACCAATGGATAGTTAGCGAAAAGGGATAGCCAACTCGCTAATGAAGCAAAGAACAAGTAAATAACAAAAGTTATCTAACCACAAAGCAAGGGTGTTTTTTTACATCAAACCAACATTGAAACAAAAAACACCTAACTATGTGGGTGTGGGTTGGCATGTGTTATGTCGCAGTGGAGGTACCACACCTAGTGTGCGGCTGGAGCCAAATTCGACTAAAAAGTCTCCTAGTCCCTCTCCCTCTCCCTTCAACCTTATGATCAAACTAACAAAATGAATGACTTAAAATGCTATATCAGTTAGTTAAGCCGAAACATACACAATTTCAGAGCCGCGATGACAGAAAACATCAGTAGAGACAAATCAAAACCTTAACACAATGACTGAAAACATACCCAATTTTAGAATCCCAATATAGCATAAAATATCATTAAAGACAAATAAACCTTTGAATGCAAATATTAAGGAAGAATATTACTTACCTTCAAGATTAATACAAAAGAAAAAAATGAAAATAACCTTCGTGTGGATGATGTAGTGCAAGCTTTCAGAGTTATATGTGCACTGCAATCAATATCAATAATCATATGATCAAAAACCAAAGCGGTAAAAAAGAAACAAAATCAGTAAGAAATGTACCAGTTAGAACTCAAACCTTTGAGAGATATAAAACGTCTATTAGGAATCAGACTTGTGTTGGATTAGTGTCTAAGTCCATAACTATTTTGGTATGTACTTGACCCGATGGTGTATGGTCTTTTTGGGTTGCCTTCACCAAAGCAACTTGATAGGATAAATTATGAAGAGAAAGAATTAATTATGATTTATTAATATATTATGAGAATAATATATTAAAGGAGAAATTATATTGTTTAATTAATATTAGTCAAGAATTAATAAGAATTAATTTTGTGGCTAAAAGACATTAATTAAATAAAGGGGACTAGAACTATCAATTGTGTGATAGTTGAATATTGGGCTAATGGACTCCATAGAGGATGGAGTGGGCAAATTCTATGGGGAAACCCATTAGAAATCATCGAAGGCCTCTAAGGAGGGAGTCCATGGGTTGCTTAGGGCTTAAGCAGTCAAATTAGGGTTTCCTTGTTACATAACCCTAATAGCCTCACTATTTAAGGACCCCTAGGGCACCAAAAACGTGGCCAACTGATTCATTAGGGTTTCTACACGTTTTTGGAGTGCCTTCTCTCTTATCATTCTTTATCCTCTTGCTCTAGGTGTTTGTGAGCCATTAGAGGAGTGAAAATTGTGACTCTAAGCTTTCTAAAGTCATTACAAGGAGGATTTAAGATTGTTATTGCTACATAACAATCAAGGTAAGATTTAAACCCCATTCTTATGTTAATATTGATTATCATATTCTAGATCTAGGGTTTAAAGTCTTGGATGAATGCATGTACAATAGAGAAACCTAGATCCAAGGATTAGGGTTTACATGAGCACTTAGGATGTTCTTATGGCTAAAACCCATCAAATTGTTACTTTGTTTAAACTAAAACCCGTTAGAGAACAAATGAGTAAAAAAATGAAATAGGAAAATCGAACCTTTTAGAGAAGTAACCATTTACCGCATGAAGACAACATATTAGGTGTGCGTTTCTATTGTCTCTGAGCTATAGATATTTGTTACTTGGTTGTTGATTATGTAAAAATGAACAGATAAAAACCTAGAGTCTGGTTAATTGTTTTTGTAAATATGAGTACTTACATATTTAGATGTAGTAAAATCATTTTTGTGATGATTTTCCATGGTGGAGGAGCATAGGGGCCAAAAAAAATAGACATGTAATAATGAAACACACACACACACATACAATTAGAGAGACAACACACATGAACGCACAAATTTATAAACATATTTACACCAGATGAAACTTTTAACAAACAAAACGAAGAGTAGAGTTAGAGAGGCGATGTCGCATTAGTGTTTTATTTTGGATCGTGTGAGCTAGAAATAGGTTACCTATTCCTTGACCAAAACATATCGATTCAGAAGAGATGGCAAGTGCTGGTGGTGGTAAGTGACAAAGATGGCGAAGCACAAGAAAGAATATGATCTAGAAACGATGAAGATAAGACTCGAAGGTGGTAACCCAGCGTTGGATGGCGGTGCAAGATGGCAAGTGCTGGTGGTGGTAAGTGACAAAGATGGTAGAGCACAAGAAAGAAGAAGATCTAGAAACGATGAAGGTAAGACTCAAAGGTGGTAAGACAACATTGGATGGCGGTGAGGTTGCTTTCGTTCGAGGGGAATGGTGCAAAGGAGCTCTACTATGGGGGTGTTTGACTTATCTTTTTGGGAGCCAAAAGTCCTTTTGGCAAAAGTCACAAAAAGACATCATTTCCTGAATTTTCCAAAAAGTCACTTTTCCTTATATAAAAAATCAAAAAGTAGCTTTTAAAATGGTGTTACCAAACATCTTTTGCATTCTATCTTTTCCAAAAAGAACTTTTGGCCCCTCAAATGATAAGCCAAACACCCACTATGTAAATAATTCATTTCTCTTACATTCGCACTAATTTTAGAGAAATAATAATTTGGGTTGGAGAAAGAAGAGCAGGCCCATAAGTTTGAAGCAAGTAGTGATAATATAACCATTGTTAGACCGATTCAAGGGGGTAAAAGTAAGGTTTGACTGATTCAAGTGGCTGAGGAATACTAATTCAAACTTCAAAGGACACCAATTATCGATTCTTATCTTGACTTTTCCAATTGTTGACCAAAAGCAGATTCAAGATTTTTTAATGCATAAACTTATTGTACAAATAGCGTTATGGTCTTGTACCTCTTAATTTCCAGTCTTTGACCAAATTTGCTTAATAAGTAATATATATATATATATATATATATATATATATATATATATATATATATATATATATATATATATATATATATATATATATATATATATAACCCATTTCTCTTGTATGATGTATGATGTATTTAATTGGAATAAGTGGAATACTATAGACAAAACTGCACAAATGATCCCTATGGTTTGCTTAAAATTGCTACTTTGGTCCAAAAAAGTTTAGACTAGCACCGGAGGTCCAAACTTTTCATTTTGTTGCGAATTTGGTCCAGTTTTCTATTAACTTTTTCATAATGACTATTTTACCCTTACTTTTTTTTTTCCTTTTTCGGTTTTTTTATTATTTAAATACTTTTTTTGATTTAAAGAAAAAATAAAAAAGAAAATTTTCATTTTCTATTTTATTTTTATAATTTTTATCACAAAATAAAAATGAAATCTCTCTCTCTCTCTCTCTCTCTCTCTCTCTCTCTCAAACACACAAACCCATCTTCTCTCAATCCTAATCCATGAAATCCTCCAGATTCCAATAACTATTGCACTAGAACCAATACCTAAATCCACTCACAAACCTTCGTTTAATTCTTGACTCTGCTGGATCACATCTTCCACCAGATCGATTATGAACTCGGTTTTAGGCCTTGGAATCAGAACACCTTCTTCGACACTTACAACTAAATCCTTCGATGGTCACATCCTGAAACAATTTTCTCTTTTCAATCCTTTGCTTCCATAAAGAGTAAAGATCACCCAAATAAGCTCTTAATTGCAAAATAGTGTTGTGTTTGGAGTCGTTGACGGTTAGTAATGGTTTTGGGTTTTCTAGAGCATCTTCATTCAGAATGGAGGTATCTATAAATCACCACCGAGCCACAATAGTACACAAAAAATCCAGATACACATACAAAGATAGGGTTCATAAATCAAACAATGGTGCAGATTTAGGGTTCAAATAAATCAAACAATAGTTCAACATATTCATGGTGGGGGGCATAATGGTAACCTGATGAAGCTTCTTGAAGATTTGAGTATTGATATCTCCAATTTGAAGTTCAAACTGATCTTCGTGACTCACTTCGAACAGAAAAAGAAGCCTTTTGCTATGCAATCCAAGGATTGTGGGTAGAGGTGGAAGTCGATCTGAGTTGATCTACCAGTAAGAGGAAAAGGGACGGAGCCGATCGGTGGGCGGATGGTAGATCGGACGGAGATACGACAGGGATAACCGATTTGGCTGGATCGGTGTCGAACACTTGCTCTGTCCATTGACTAAGTTTTTGACTCTTCATATTCAAGCAAATGTAACCCTAAAATCGATTACATTTGAGGGAAGAAGAACAAAGATTGGGAGAGATGGTCTGATAGCGATAATGGAGACTTTAGAGGTAAACCGAATTGCCAATCAGAGAGAGTAAGAATCAAAGATCTCGGTGGAAATCTCATACACAGTCAGTGGAAATCTCATATACATCGGCTTTCATATCTGAGAAATACCTTTTTGATTTGCAATGGATGTGTGTGTGAGAGAGAGAGATTTAATTTTATTTTTTTATTTTTTTTAAATCTAAAAATCAAAAATACAAATAAGAAAAAAGAGAAAATCAAGACAAAATTGTAAATTTTGTCCCTGTGGTATTCAAAAATTTTTGGATGGGGTCCAAAAACTTTCTCATTTGCATGGAAGGTCCAAAATCAAAATATTTCCGTGATTTTGGTCCAAAAAAATTTTGATAAGACGATTATGCCGTTTTATTTTCTTTTTTGTATTTTTTATAATTATTTTAATACTATTCTAATTAAAAAATAAAGAAAAAAAGAAAAAAAATATCCCACACCCTACCCACCGTCCCTTTCTCTCTCTCTCTCTCTCTCTCCACAAAACCCATCTTCATCATTATGAGTTTCAGAAAAAACGGAATATCATCACTACCATCTAATGAAGGTTTAAACCAGATTGATACACTCTCTCCCTTTCTCTATCTTCCTTATTCATACAGATACATATAAGGCTAAACACGATGAATATATGGGAACTAGATGAAGACAAAGAAATCAAGGGAAATATGAAGATGAAGATATTGTGTTAATCTCATAGCTAATACACAAATGCCAGAATTCAGGGGAAAGAAATAGATTTCTTTCCTTCAAACATGAACAGACACATACACTTTAGAAATTGATATTTTGCCTTTAGATCTCGTTTCGTCTTAAGATCTCGGTTGTGGAGACGGATTTTGATTAGGGTTAGACATAGATCTGATTACATCATCGTTTGAAACCCTAACATTCGTCGAAATGGCGGCAACAGTTGATTACTAGTGTTTTCAGCGATTGATTCCTAATCCAGATCTTGAACGAAAACCATTATCGACAGCTTGAAGCATAAACGAAAACGAGAAGGGCAGCAGCATCAGGTTTCGACCGAGATTTGGAGATCTTTCTGGTGAAGACGGACACCCTTTCATCCCTTTCTCCCTCTGTTAAAATCGAAGACCTAACTTTACACCTCTTCGATATATGCTTAAATCGAGAAGTTTATTCAAAATGTTGATTATCTTAAGAAATCAACAACCCTTTCATTCATCCATTCATACAAGAGAGAGAGAGAGAGAGAGAGAGAGAGAGAGAGAGAGAGAGAGAGAGAGTAACGGTAGGGGTGGGGGTGGGCCCAATTCTTTTATTTTTAATTTTTGATTAATAAGTTATTAAAGAAAATATAAAAAAATACAAAAAAGAAAATAAAAAGGGTATAATCATCTTTTCAAGTTTTTTTAGACCAAAATCAAAGAAATGTTTTGATTTTGGACCTTCCATGCAGTCCCGAAAGTTTTTGGATCCCATCCAAAGTTTTTTGAATACCACAGGGACTAAATTTGCAGTTTTATCGAAAATCAAATTAATTGGGGCAAATCTGTCATTTTGAAAAAATTCAGAATAAATTGGATCAAACAAGCAACAAAATGATAATTTTGAACCTCTGGTTGTAATCCAAATTTTTTTGAACCAGTGAGAATTTTAAAGAAACCAAAGGGACCATTTGTAACATGCACCACCTTAATCGTGATTTCAGATGCTGTGATCAGCATAGTTTTATTGTACATGTGATCCTATACTTTATAGTTACACGCGCGAAACTCCAGGTAATTTGTACGGCTTCAAACTGCAAAGGAAGCAATGCAATCAGCACCAGTGATAATTTATAATAATGTAGTAATTTATAAATTAAAATTTGCAAGGTGGGTATATATAGATAGCAGTGAATAATACTCGGAACTCTAACTCCTTTCAAGTTTCAATTGTCCGATTTGTTTATATGCATGGGTGACTCAGCCCCAGAGCTGGAAATCACGATCATCTCCGCCAAACACCTCAAGAATGTTAATTGGAGAAACGGAGATCTGAGACCTTATGCCACCTTTTGGTTCAACTACAATTACGACAAACCCCGCCATACCACAAAAGTCGACGACTCTAATTCAACTAAACCCGTTTGGAATGAACACTTCGTCATTGGTCTACCATTCCCACCCTACTCCACCTTTTTTAACCTAGAGATCCGCCATAATGCCCAACCACTTCACTTGCGGAAACATTTGGTTGGAACCCTCCTTTTCAAGCTTAAAGATCTACCTGATCCAGAAAATTCCAAACTCATTCGAAAATTCGATCTTACCCGTCCATCTGGTCGTCCCAATGGTAAGATCCACCTGAAACTTGCTTTCCCTGAAAGCGCTCTTTCATATCCACCGGTTTTTATTCCTCCCGAAGTCGCCAAGATGGGAGGATGGATAGAGGTGGTAGAGCCTCGGCAAGAAACCAAGGTACACCTAACTCATCCACGGCCTCCATATGAGGGTGTTCCCCCGTAAGTAATAAATATTTTTCGTTATGGCATATATGCACTAGCTAGATTTTACTAAGCTATACATTTAATTTTCAACATATATAACCAAATATTTCACTTGACCAACACAATGGTTACTTAAAAGCCCAACGAAGTTTCCAAACCATTTAAAAAAACCCAATCATGTTTTGTCTGTTAAAAAAACCCAACGAACTTAACATTTTGTCTAAAAAGTCCAACGAAGTTCCAAACCGTTCAAAACATCCTAATTTTGTTTTGTTTAAGTTCGTTAGGTTTTTTTTGAACAGTCAAAACATGATTGGAGTTTTTTAAACGTTTTGGAAACTTCGTTGGTCTAACAAGTCATTTTTCCGACACGGTAATAAGCCACGTCATATGTTTCTCTTATTTGACTTTCAGGAAAGTGTAACTTAGTTGGGGTTTTTAGAAAAAATGTTAAGTTTGTTGGGGTTTTTTAAACAGACAAAACATGATTGGAGTTTTTTGAACGGTTTGAAAATTTCGTTGGGCTCGTAAGTCATTTTCCCTTTATTATGAATATGGCTCCTGATATTTCCACTCATGCACTCTGAAAAAATTGAACATTGGACATTTATAGCCTTCTATTTAATTAATAATTAATAATTATTGAGGAGGGTAAAGACCGAAGAACTTGAAATCTTGAATCCATCTCCGCGAGTATGTCGTAGGTCTGTAGAACGTCAACAAATTCTTGATCTCCATTACTTCGATCTAAACGGCGGAATCCCGAATTCTTTTAGCGAATGCTGGTTTCTTCAAGAACTGCAAGTCCATTTATACTATATCACCTTCTTCTTCTTCTTCTTCTTCTTCTTCTTCTTCTTCTTCTTCTTCTTCTTCTTCACAGTCAACATTTACAAACCCTATTTGCGTTATATTTTACAGGGATGTTTCAGGAATTTCTTAACAACGATGAATCCCACAAATCTTTTACAGCGTACCGAACCTTAGAATCCTCATTCTTCCCAAAACTTATTGCCTTTCCGTTGTTGTAGTTCCATTGAATCGAAAAGGCCAAAATTAAGCGAGTCCTCCATTGTTGCCATTGTTGCTGCTCCATTGTTGCTGCTCCATTGATCTCGACTGATAATCATTTTGAACATGAAAGATCGAAGAATACAAGGCAAAACACCACAAAATACAGAAAAACTATTATAAAGGATTGAGAAAATACAAGGAATTAGAGACAGCTGAAGATGTGAACTTTATCCTTTAGGCAACTGAGAAACAAGTCACAGGTACATCTGCAGTGGGAGGGAGGCAAACCAGTGTGCGAAGAAGCAAAATAAATTAAATCTAGAAACTTGGAAGTTCAACGGAGGTGGAATAAGTCTGGGTATCTGTTTCTTCAATAATTACTAATGGAATGGAAGGGTATATATATATATGTCTTTACACTATTTTTCTGTGGATAAGTAAAAAGTTTCAGTGGAAAAATCATGACCCTATGAATATACGTGATATATAACCATATATCTGCATGTGAGTTAACATAGCCTGTCGCCATGCTTATAATTAATACCTTCTTGAATAAAATATATGAAAGGATTACCCAAAATCCTATCCCGCGTCTGTGTAATATATTTGGGCATAGAAGCACCTCCACACCTTTGAAGGGGTCTCTCGACGCATATGATAAACAATTCTCCGTACATCTAACGCCATGGAGAGCGGTCACCATCAACTCAACGAAAAAATGTTGTCACTTTTGTGTCACGTCTTCACCTCCAACCCACTAGTAGGGATGTCAACGAGGGCAAACGGGACGGGGGTGCATCTCCCGCCCCCGCCCCCGAAATTTTCCCGTTTCCCCCGCCTCCGCCCCGGAATGTTCAGCCTTCCTACCCCCACCCCGCCCCCACCCCCGAATCCCTTTATTACCCCCGCGTCCGCCCCGATTGATTTTGGGCTATTTTTTTTTTTGGCTAAAAAAAGTTGTTATTTAGGCTAAAAGAAACTATTTTTT